GAGAGGAGGCTCTAAAAATGCTATTGTCCACACCTGACTGCTAAGATCACCATGTGTAACCCTGTACCAAAAGATAAGCTGGCTTTGTAGTTTCTAATTGTGAAAAGTGTCTCAGGCACCTTATGAATCTGACAGGAAAAATGTTAATTTTGGCCAAACCTGGCAATATATGGTATTAAATACTTCATTTTGGTGATATATTAGTCCTGCAGAAGGTACTGCCTCTCTGTGTAGCATGCGTTTGCTTGTTTTAGCACAGTGTTCTCTGCATGTCACACCATTAATATTTTTTACTGGCTGCTTTGTGTGCCTGTAAGGTTGAAAATTATGGGTTTATTTCCTCTCGTATCCTGCATGAGCATTTCTGTTAAAGCTTTCTTTGCTTACATAAATGTTGATACATTGATTAAGAAGGGTGATGAATGTACAACTGTTTAGTAATATACGTTTTATGGTATAAAAGGAAATCCCGTTTACAGTGTTTTTGTCAGGTGATAAGAACATGCTGCATGAAGGATGTCAGTCCATTGTTTTTACCTATCTTCAGAAGGAAAATTTGATGTACATAGCAAAGTGATCTTTTTCTCCAAGGATGCACACTGCCCAAACGCGGATAAGAGTCCATGTCTTAGTCCCTGTACACTGGGCAACATTGATGCTAAGACTTTATTTGGAAATGACCAAGGAAATGGCTGAAAAAGTCATGATATCATTAGTACAAGAGACTAGGATTTGTTACACTTTGTATTTACATAGGAAGGTTCATGGATGGTATTTAAAATAATGATTTCATGCAAACTTTCTCATGATACTCATCTTAAGAAAAGCACAAAGAGATGTAAATTGAAAACTGTGCTGTTCACAGAAGTTGAGCTGTAGGTACATCTTGGAAAATGAAAGGACTTTTCAGTGTTTCTGTGTGAGACTTCTTTGCTTTTTGGTTCAATTGCGTTTGCACAGGCCTGTTGGCAGGTTTTCTCTTTGAGATGATTGGGTTGAAACATTAACACAACCATAGGTTGTTGCAAATGCTACGTTAGCACGGTGAGTAAAAGCTCTTTGTGAATTTTGGACGAATGTCGTTATAGGAAACTTGAACGGATGGTTATAGCTATTGTACTTAGAAACATTTTGATAGGAAAGTTAAGGCATTCTGTCACACTTTACAGTGTGCAATGTAATTGAGATTCCAAATGTTAATACTGTTAATAAGTGAATGCTAGATCTTGCAAATACAATCCCGGTTTCACAGTTACCCCTTTTAGTATAAACAAGCTTTAGAGCAAAGCTAAAGAAACCCAAAGGGATCCATTTTGGTGATGTATTACTTTTCCAGACTGCATGTTTTTTATGTTTCAAAATAAACACTCTTT